CTCTAGTTATTGTGATAGTTATTGTTCTTGGAGTTAATGGGCCTTAACACTCGTTTTAACTTAATCTTTAAAAACAGTAAAAATCAGGGGTGCTCCGATCAGGATTTTTGAGACCGATCGCAGTAATTGCCTATACCGATCACCGATACCGATCTTTTAAAGCGACTTCTTTTTATCATTCATAACTATTTATAGTGATACTCCAATCAGGATTTTTAGACATTTACTCGGGGCCTGAATTTCATTTTTGAAAATGGGGGGAATTCCTCTCTTAGGTGACCCTTGTGAGAGGGGAAGCGGCTTTCACAGAAGAGTCCGCTACTGATCCGTGGCTGTTCACAAACACAACATTTATCCATCATTTTGATTTTAAATCCAAACATTGTCACTGAAAGTTATTTTTCCGCATTGCAATTCTTTTTTTTTACACAGTACAGTAATACAATCTTTCACAGACATGTTTAAACACAATAAATATAAGCAACACATTATTCAATGCTTTTTACTTTTACATTTACTTCTAGATTTATATATTAAGTTGCTCAAGCAAGTGGCAAAACATTTAAACTACTTTTCTTATGTTATCACAAACTTACCATTGACAGAAATAGTCAGCTCTACTGCCTTTTCTTTTGCATTTAAATATTTATTACAAGCAATCCTGCGGTTCAAAAATAACTTTGTTTTCCTTCCTCCATGAGTGCCATCTATTATTGCCTTCTTTATCTAAAAGTGCTCTTTCCCTTTAAACCTAGCCAAAAAGCCATATGTGTTGACTGTGAAACACAGTGACAGTAGACTTTAATAATATGCATTTATGGTGTAATTACTAAATTTTCGTGTCAATCCATGTTAATATTTGCTGCAAACAATGCGCTGTTACTTTATTTCAGCGCTTGCAGCGCAGCAATAGACTCAGTGCGGAAACGATCTCTGCAACGCACTGCCGGGCCGCAGCCGTGTGCAGTGTGCACGCTTTAATCCGTTAACATGAGCGCGGGAAAAATACGCACCGCATATGCACTGCAAACGGAGTAACGTGAACCTGGAGTTATGTGTGTGCGCTGCCAGTGTGCGTGAGCTCCAGGAGAGTACGCGAGAGCTGAATGGTTAAACACTGGCAAGAATTAAAAAGAAATGCAATTTATAAACTTTAGTGACGATGTGAC